CCTCTCTTATTTGGCATATTTCGTTGAGTGACTGTCGGGCAAGCATATATTCGCAAACTTAACTTTCATTTTCATCTTTTTTGCTTTACACTTTATTGGTTGGAGGAGAGGAATGTTTTTAAACAGAATTATTATTATTATTATTTTAAATGATGGAGGTCAATATTATCATTTGAGCCTTAAATGATTTAAATCCTAAACTCTGATGTCTTTTAGTTCATGCTAGTTGGACGACATGCCCAAAAGAGTTCCCACTCAATATTTTTTTAGAAATCTCTCTCGCCTTTTGCACGAGTGCGCACCTGCGCACACACATATATATATAGACGTACATGTATATATACATATATTTTATATGAGGATTTACATACATTGCACTCAAAATTTTTTATATTTCATGTCACATTAAAATTAATTCTTTTAACACTCATAGAACCCAAAGCATTATAATAGGCCCATAAATAACAGCCTTCCATTAGAAACAGTATCTTTGTCAGCAAAATCAGTTGTCCCTTCGCCAACTCCACTGCAACTCAGTTGCTCTGCCATCTCTTCCAATACTTTCTTTGAATAGTAGGAACAGAGAGGGCTTAGTTTTTTATCGTTGTGGAGAGGTATCGGCGACAAAAGAGAGTTTGTGGTTTCGGATTTGAACATGGGCATGGGAGATCTAGCGGCCTAGACACGTGGACATTTAAGAGATGGCTTGACAATAGCGAATGCAAGAAAGAAGAGGAAGGAGATGCAACTTCACCGATTATTTTGATGTTTATAGAAGTGCGTTGTCATGGCTTGTCAACATTTTTATTAAGAATCAAGCAATACCAGTTATCTTCTATTTATAAAAAAATTACTTCTTATGGCTTGTGGAATGTGTAAGGCTCATTACATGCAGTTAAACCATGGAACTCACATTTTATACTTCATATGGCTGAAATAAGAGCCCTCGTTTAAAATGCAGGCTTTGTGAAATTTGTGGTTTGAATGTGAAAAGCATTATTGGCAAGGAAGATTTCAGTTTCATGGAAGTCTGGCATGATGGTAGAAGAAGGAATGGGGGCTCCAACAACAGAAACTCGCATTATCAGGGTAGCTATTGGACCAGCCGAAGATTCTGCAGTTTCTTTGTTTCATTCCTTGCGATAGCTTTTATACTTCAGTGGTACTTCCGGGAAAGCTTTGGCTGATGTAGCTTCTCCCCTTCCAAAGGTTACAGATTGTAGAGTTGTTATTTTATCCAGGGGACTCTTTTTAACATAAAGAGATGAAGATGGCATTGTACACTGTAGGCATTTAGGTCCATTGTCACTCAATGATGTTGCATGCTGAACAAATCTTTTATTTTTATTATTATTTTTTTTTTGCATTATGTTTTTATTGCTTTAATAATATGGAAGTGTGTGTGTAATTCTTGTAAAGGGGAGATAAAATAATATTTATATGTTGCATTTTTATTTTATTTGTCCTTGATTAGTCAAAGGTTTATTTGCTATTGTTGGGCAATGTATAGCATGGTCTAACATTCCACCTAACTCTTGATTAGGCAATTGCAAATCATTGTAGGATGAGTGTAAATTATTATGGGAATAATGCAAATTACATATGAATATGAAAGTATGATGATTTAGTCAATAATGCTTGAATGTACTTATGATTGAATGTTGATAAACAAATAACTACTATATAGCTAAATATGATTGGAAGCTCATAACTATAGTGAGATGATTCAAGCTCTAGTAATGTTAATCATTATAGATGTCTAATCCTATAGAAATTAAAGAGAAGTAGATATTTTGGATAATCTAACCTTTGATAAATTTTGAGGAAACAAATATTAGTGTGGATAAGTTGATCTTTATTAATATTCTCGCTGTAGGGTTCTTCTTTAATCCTTATAAATTACAATTAAGAGGTAACTCTTGTTCTACACTTAGAATGGTAAGCACATAATGAAGAGTAATGTTGTGTAAACAATTGCATTTAATGACATAAATATTCAAATTCAAGAGAAAGTCATTATATTATAAACGCTCGTGCAAGCTTGCCAAAGATGAAGGGAAGGAAATGTAAAACCATGCAATGGACATAAAAGGAGTAATTGGAGGGGAGGATTTTAAGATTTGTAGGTAATTTTCAAATATTTTGGGTGGTTTTAACACATGATATTGGTAATTTAAGATATTGTACGAAAAGAGGAGAGGAGGTGCAGGCCACATTGATTAGGATGATGATTCACATGTCAAAGTTTGACTTGGTAAATGATAATAGAGATCAATTTTATATGAAAGAAGTCAATGACGGGTTAAAAAGCTAAAAGGGCTAATTTTGGCTTTGGTTAATCGATGAAAAGGTTAATGTTCATTCTCTATGGCCATATAATTATCATCATGCAACACAACAGAGAGTAAGACTCATAACACATGACAAAATATAAGGAATGACCCAAGAATATACATTAGCCCAAACATTATATGACTCAAGAAGTTAATATTGCATGGTCATCCAAAATTAAACTATACATCAAAATAAACTCTAATATGCTAGATCCCATGTTCTTGGTAACTAAATTTTAGAATGAAACACTATATCAACACTCTTTAATTTCAAATATTTTATCTATAGAGTATGAGGATTCATATAATATTGTAGTAGTTGTATGCTCAAATGACACACACCAAGTGCTACGAAGCAAAGCGGCTCACACAAGTATACGTGGCATCGTACAGAGAATGGAATTCCGCGTGTCGATCCCATAGGGAACGAGTTGAGCTCGTATAGAAAAAATTGTAGCATGCAATCTTCAATCCTAGCCTGAAATGATGATTTACTGAAAATCTTATAAAATAATCCTAAGTTAACCACGAAGAAGGTGAAGGGTTTTTCAAATACTTAAAAGTTCTTTCTTAGAATGGTTCAAATAAGATTTTTGAAAGTGAAAATCTTATTTGCTTGTATAAAAAAGTTTGGCTTGAAATTAGATATATTTACAAAAATCCAATTACTAACCCAATCGTAACATTCTATCCATAAGTTTGCACTACCCTAAATGATATATCCTTATTCCCTTAGGCTAATGTGATTAACTTTGTTGATTTTATTATGATCTCTTTCAAGATTCATAATTCACAATAGATTTTAACAAATCACATGACAAACATGAAAAGTAAAGGAAAATCAGAAGGTTAATCATGACCAAATATGTTTACGCACAAAATCTAACAAAAACCTTCACATCCATCAATCTTACTTCCCCGTCACAACGGAGAATTAGAGATTACTCACTACTCATGCTTGAACACATCAACAAATTCATTTGATTGAAAGAGAAATTTAAATTCAGAAGTCTTAATAGTAGAATAATGCAAAACACAAAGCAAAACTCAAGAAAACTTATCTCCCTTTTTTCACAATTGAAAGAAGATGAAATTACATCATAAGTCTCTCAAATTCTATCAAATCTCGCTTCTCCCTTTGTGGTTCTTCTTCTGTCTTCTCCCTCCAAGTTCCTCCCTTTTGAATGGCAGAACGCAGGAAAAGCCTTTGGAACTTCGTGTTCATCCTTTCTATACTTCCCTCAGTGAATCAAAGTTTTGAACCACTGAAACCGTCATTTTTTGCATTTTAGCTCCCAGCCGCCTAGTAGCTAACCCCTAGGCGCCAATCAGTTGTGCTTAAAACTGCAATATCTAATTACAAGGCGCTCTATCGCGATGCATTGGTAGTGTGTTGCTTGGGTGCTACTTAGGCAATGCCTACTATCGAATCTCACGGAAAATGTGGTGAAATTACTCTATTTGGGGGCGCCTAAGCGCCATTGACCCGACAAATAGGTGTTGCATGCTTGACGCCTAGGCTGTACTAGCCTGGCGCTAACTTTCCAAGCTCTCAAAAAAATGCACCTTTCTAGATTGGGATTGGCGTCAAGGCGTCTCTGGCCCGGCCGGCCCCTAGGCGTCAGACCAAAAATTATCTCCAAATTACTCATTTTGAGTTATGTTCGATCCCCTTTTTGCTGCAAACTACAAGACAACACAAAAACCTTCCTCAAAACATACTATAATCATACAAAATGCAAGAATTAAGAGACATTTCATACACACTTTGTAAACATATTCAAAATCCACCAAACTTAAATGTTACTTGCCCTCAAGTCACTACAAACTTTAAATTTTGATTATGTTATTTTGCATTTTTCACATGTTTTTCACTTGCATTTTGCATGATGCTTAAATCTTCTTTAGGCATCCATCGTAATCAATTATACCTCAGCCAAGTGATCACAATATATTGAACCTTACTGTGTGATTGCATGCACATGGGCTTCATGTCTTGATAGCAAATTGGACTCATTATGTGAGTGACCCATTGTTGGTCACGATGCTTTAACGAGCATTGTTTGTCGAGTAAATTTCAATGAACAATGCGAGTTATTGCATCTGGATGAACACACACATGATTGTGCTTAGGTTTCAATGGTTGTAATGTATGTCACCATGCATGTTATGATACCACATTTAATGATCGTATTTTAAAATAAAGGATTTTCTTATATTTTCTCTACGTTTGATATCCTGTGCCTGTTTTAAAATTATGCAATTAGCAAAACTAGGTCATTTGTAGTGCCAACTTTTTTAAAATCATGTTGGGTGATATACATTAAACCCCTTGGATCTTTAGGGCAGGGCCAATGTTAGCGAACTCGTCAAATTCATATGGTAGCATTCATCCCTGCACCTTGTACAAACTTAGATGTTATAACTATGACACCATGTAATAGTTGATTTGCTAGTCTATGACTAGGGTGCTTAGGTAGTCTTTTTGATGTCCTGACTACTGTTCTTTGGTTTTTGCCCTTGTCAGACATCCTTTGTTTGTTTCTTTGTGTGTTTCCTTGGTGTGAGACATGAGCCCTAGTATATTTAAGGGCGGCTTTTTATGTAGGGAGCCATTCTTAAAGGTACATAAAAAAGGAAGCAAGTAATGATTTAAAAGTTAACATTTTTTACATGTACTTTTAAGCTCCCCTCTTGCCAAACATGGCTCATTATGTGTTGCATGAATATAACTCGTATCAACTCTTCTGCAGGTCGGCTCTTTTCTTAAATTTTCTTCTATATTTGTTTAAATTCTTATGACGAAGTCTGTATTGGATATAAGGTATGAGCACGAGTTTGAAGGTGCTTGACACACGAAACCATGTGACGGGGACCAGGAGTAGTTTGCTTGAGTGCGGTACCTTAAGTCTGATTTTTTTATTAATGTATAGAATTAGAGTCATGCATGAATATGTGAAGTCGACTGTCTTTTCTTGCTTTTTGGGCTATGTTGCAAACCCAACGACACCTGATATGTTGGTATTTATTTTTTTAACTTATTTACATTGCGCAATGTGCTAAATTTAATTTTCTCACCTTTTTGGTTTCTCTGTGAATCCTACGAATATACAATCTAGGCTCTTTAATGACACAAAAAATATCCTTTTAAAAATCCTAATAATAAAAAATCAAGATAAAAAAAATTTCGGATTAAAATATCTAAATTTTAAAATCAGCATTACTTTCTGCTTTACTTTTCTATATGGCCTTTGGTCGGATTTAAAATGGGTTGCATGCATGACTACCTTCTAAATCACCCCCAACAGAGCCTCAACATTTGAATTTAATTGCAAATAACTGCATCATTTCGCATGTCCTGAGAAGCGCCCCCGTGCTTCTTCAATCGAGTGGTCCAACATAAATTTTTACTTAGGTGTTGTCTAGCATGCTTAGGGTCTTAGAGACTTCCTCGACCCTAACTAGGGTTTAAGTCTTTTGTGAGAGTTTTTTGGCTTTGTGGTCGGACCTCTCTTTTCTCTTTCATTCCAGCGATATTTTTATCATTTAATTGATGAGTATAATTCCCACTTTCACCTATTCTAGATTTTAGAAGGTCCTAGAAAATTAAAGTCTTGTTTCCTTTGAATCAAGGTCTTACAGCTTCCCTTGGACAATGCAATTCATAGACTGTTGACAACGGGTCCATGGTCGGGTTGGGTCGACTACAGTTACGACCAAGTAGACTCAGAGTTTTCATAACTTGGGATGAGGAATTCGTAGTATCTTGGCCCAGCTACCTCTACCTACTTGAGGAATCCTCCCCTTTTTCTTGACACCTCCTTTGAGCCCTAACCTTTATTTGAAAAATCGTTGATGTCGTCTCGTGGGCCTTGCATGTTCAGGTGTTGTCGCCTGTAGTAGATACAATGATTCATCATTTGCTTTATAACCCATTATGGCATCGAAAGCATCGAGATTCTCCTATTTGAAATAATAAAAATCCTTGGTTTTCCAATTAACTGGATATCATAAATAATATAAGCATGACCCTTTTTATCGAGAAAATTCTTGGGCATTTCCCAAGATATAATTTACCAAAGGAATTTATTTTTTTGGGAGTACTCTGAAACCCAAAACAAGCATAAAAACTTGACTCTCCGGTTACATGGGTGGCTTATATAAGAATTCTCTTTGTGGATAGTATTTCAAGATGTTTCGAATCGATGTCTTCTCTACATATATTCTTGACCTATCATACGAGCATGATCTCACATAAGCCCTCCTTGTTTCCTTTAAAATTTATTTGTCAAAATTTTGTCATATATCCTTTTTTTTCGATTCCTCTCATCCTCAGATCATTTCTATGATCCGAGAGAGTATTTATTTGGAAAAGGGATCATATGACGATAATGCAAGTTGGTGACTCCGATACTCTTAAAAAGGAACCAAAACAGCTTGTTATAATCACTCGACACTAAAAGGTAACCAAAACTAATAAAATACTTGAGTATGATGAACTGTCGAATATTGATTTTTTAAATAGAAAAAATATATTAGCATTATTCTTAAAATATTATGCATATCATTCATACTTATGTAGTTTGATTTATAATCAAGTTGTAAGATGTGTTATTTCTAATAACTAACAACCTAACCTATCTTGTATTCATTTGAGACCGACCATAAATGATTTTTACTGTAATTAGGTGATTTAAATGACAGCCTTTTCCTCAATATTTGAAATATCACTGAGTGTCTTCAATATTTCTAACATCTCTTACCATTTCTTTCTTTGAGTTTCACTAATAATTGTTTCACTTTTGAGCCTCTGAGTGTCCTCGGTACCTCCAACATCTCTTACATTTTCTTTCTTTGAGTTTCATTAATAATTGTTCCAATTTTAAGCCTCAGTATCTCCTAACATTTCTTGCCTTTTCTTTCTTTGAGTTTCATTAATAATTGTTCTACTTTTGAGTTTCCTTAATAATTGTTCCACTTTTGATTTTCATTAAAAATTGTTCTACATTTAAGGTTCTTAATAATCAATGAAATTTTCTTGAAAACAAAATCATAGCTATAACTGAGTTTTCTTAAAAAAACTTCTGTTGCTTAAGATGTAATTAATTATAAGAGCTAACTTATACAAAAGGTTTATAACCAATATTTAATCTAAACATTATCTAGTCTTCCAATTACATAGGGGAATGATTATCGGTTTTAATCGTAGACCATTGCAAATATCCAATATTCCTTAATTTAAGTAATCAAACCCATCATAAGTAATACTTTTATCACTCGAGATTGTATATTACTTTTAATGCTGTGTTTGATTATTTAAATAATTAAATCTTCAAATCCATGTGGTTCTATAAATACACCGACTCTCTGTCAAAAAATAAAACTGACAATTACAAATGTCCACATAGTACCTATCTGAAATGATATGATAGTTATTCTAGAACAATGCAAAAAAGCCAATATCAACACACCTTCCATAATAGAGAAGTCTTAAATCCTTCACACATTAACTGGAAAATATCCTCGCCCAACATAACTGGGCAAGAAGAAAATCTCATGCACTTTATATGGTTTATCATTTTGGAATTGATCGACTTAGCCGCCTAAAAAAGTTGCTGGATGAGGCATAGTCCATACTTTGCTCGGGAGCACGCCGGATTACTCCCTGCAGGTCTAACAACTATGCCTTAAAAGGAAGGAAAATCTGAGGCCAACAACGAGCCCTTGCGACTGTCCTCTAAATCTAAGATTGCAAAGTTTGACGGTGGTAGAAATCGTTATTTCAATCAAACACTTAATAATCTATCGTCGAGTCCCAATTAGCTAGAGCACTTGTTGTGATTCTGTATTTCTTTGATAGTTTGTAGATGTCACTTGTTCTCACATTCTCTCATTCTTCTTATATTATTCTGTCAAAGAGCTAAGAGAATTAAAAAAAAACTAAATGTATATCAAAAAAAGAATTTTCTTAGTAAGGGGATAACACAAATACTAAGTGGGTTTCATGGACTTAATGGATCGAGCCCATTAGCCATGCACTTGATGTTTTGACCACGACCGAACTGATTGTACTCGTTAGCCGTACTTTTTGGAATGACAAACTACAGGGTGTTTTGCCGCTTAGAAGGACCCAACGAATACCTTTGCATAAGCTTATTAGCATTTACACAAGTTCCTCCGAAGAAGCTCGCCAATCTCACGCCTTCAGGCGAGTACGTTTGGCGGAGTTCACTCATGCTCCTCAAGCTCTTTTACCAAGCTCGTTCGCACCAATAAAGCTCTTCTACCTAGCTCACTGACATCTATCTAGAGGAATCACTGAACACGATGAACAATTTAGAAGAAAATTTTGCTCCATCAACATCCACATCTATTTATTGGTTGTTTAATATCCATGCTGAGGATCTTATTAATGGCGGCTCTATATCGGCCTCATACAATACAATCTATAATATTATATTTTATTTATTATTTAGAGCCCTTTGCGGGTACGTAAGTTCTATGATGTATAAATAGAAGGTAAAAGGAGATAAGAGGATCTTTTTTCCTTGCTTCAATTAAGAGAGAAATACTCTCTGAAATCCTCAGCTCCCTTCCACCTCCTTCATAAGATCTCTCTTGAATTGTATGAATTCATTGATTATACGAGAACATACGTCCAAAAGCGATTCAACACAACTATACCATCCATTATTTTATGGATGGAAATAATTCCAGCACTCCTTAAAAAAAATTTAAAAAACAATACGCGTACTGAATTAAGATGCTTTCATCATATCAATTACAATGGATCTTAATGCCAACCAAAAAGTCCAAAAGTTAGTTCATCTATACTATAATTTAAAAATCAATGGGGATGTAGAAAATAACCTCTCATGGCATCAAAGGTAAAACAATAATGAGCTCAACAAAAGTTTCTCCTTGATCAACAAAACAAAACTCTAGTATCATTCACCAACAACACATTAAAATTTTCCAACAAATGAGTTCACCGCAATTTCTTCAACAACCCAATTTAATCAAGCAGCAGTTTTCAGCCTCTCCTTCAGCAATTGCAACAGCTCACCTTTCTTAAGTTTTGAAATACCCTTAATCCCTTCTCCCCTTGCAAGCCCTTTCAGCTCAGAAAGCTTCATTTCATCAATCTTCTGCATTTCAGACACCTCAGAACCAGCCCTCTTTTCTTCTACCTCCTTCACTTCCTGTTCCCTCTCCCCCTCATCTTCCTTCTTAAACAAACCCTTATCTTCAGCTGGCGATGCCACAGGAATAGGTGACCTCCTAACAAATTTCGACAAAGGTCTCTGAATTTTTGAATTCTCCAACGCAGCAGCATCTTCTAATCCGCTTCCCCTTCCTCCCTGCTCTTTCCCGCTTTCTAACATCAAAACACAGTAACTTTGCCTGACAAACAATCAAAACAAACAAAAAGAAAGGAACTTTACGAACTTTCTCAAACCTCTGGATTTTCTACTTTCTGGAGAAACTGAATCAGCAATCCCACGCCTTCTTCTTCTCGGAACTTTAGCTTCTCCTTCCTTCGAGATGGAAGATTGAATCCTCCTAAACAATGCAAGTATCTCGTCGTTATCAGGGGATTTGGATCTCCGCTTCAACTCATCGTCTCCTCCTCCTCCTCTGGGTTTATTCGAGGACACGCTGCGTTGCTGAGGACGCTTTCTTCTGCTTCCTTCGGATCTGATGATGGCTGAATTCGGCCATTGGAGTTGTCCTACGCGGGGAGGGAAGTGCAGAGAAAAATCTGCAATCTCTATTAAGTTTCATTAAGCTGCATCAAAAGATCAATTTTTACCTCAATGAAGAGGGAGAAAGAAGCATAACGATTCTATAGGGTTAGGTTTACTTTTTCCGTGGATAGAAGTTTCAGCGGGGGTAAGGTTGGGAGGAAGAGAGCGGAGGCCGCCATTGTCGAGTAGAAGCGCTTGCATCGTCTCGCACCGCACAAGATTGATCGAGACCTTTTTGTTCGCTCTATCCTGAGACCGTACCCTACTATGTGGTGAAATATTTGTTGGAATTAATAATTATTTATTATAATTATATAAGATATATAAAATGATAAGAAATTCAACATTCTCTCCCCAACGATCATAACAAACCGGAATGGCCCTCAAGCTCGTGTTCGGCTCGTTAAGCGGCTCGTGTTCGACTCGTTCGTTAAGTCTAACGAGCCGAACACGAACAAATTTTTAAGCTCGAACTCTAAACGAGTCGAACACGAACAACAGTTTGTTCGCTCGTGTTCGGCTCGAAATGACTCGAAAAAAAAATTATATAACTTTTTATATAACAATATATTACATATATTATTTATATAATAATATGTTATATATGTTTATGTCTAAGTTTAAATCATAACACCTCATGTGACAATGTAGTTAGTGTCTTTTTTTGTATAGATTTGATCCAGGTTCGAATCCACTCTTTACATCTATTTTTCTAAATTTTAGTTTAACGAGCCAATTTCGAGCCGAACACGAACACAAATATTTAAATCGAGTCGAACACGAACACACTGTTCACGAGCCTATTTCGAACACGAGCCAATTTCGAACACGAGCTATTTCGAACGAGCCGAACACGAGCCAATCTTAAAACTTATTTGACAAATAATTTTGTAAATTCTATTAAATTTTATAAAATTGTTTGACGATTGTTGTGAGGATTTAAAGGGTTGTTATGTATTTAAAATTAATTATTAATATTAATTAAATTCAATTTATAAATAGTAGTTAAGCATATCAATAATTAATTATTTACTAATTTAATTAATTGATAATAATATTTTATTGAACTAATTACTTATTAAGAAATAATCCAAATTAATTAATTAGTTAATAATTATATTAATTAGGCACTACTTTGAATTTTATTATATAATTTATGTTCTTCACCCTTGCTTATGTTCTTCTCCTGCTCCCAAAATCATCACCTTCGTCTTCGTTACCTAACCATCGTGATACAGTCTCACTTAGACCTAGTTGGGAAGGCAATGAAACGATAACGACGTATAGGGACCGAAACTCCCATCATTCTCCACCTGAAAAATTGGAGGAAAGTAACTTCACAGTTTCATTTTCGCAGGATGCGCTCGTACCCACAACACCCAGTTAAATCTACTGATTTGAAGAATTTAGTAAATCTTGGATTTACAAACAAAATCCACAATATTCAGATTTATTGTAAAGGCAGATTACCTTTTGTCCAAGAAGTTCGTTTAACAAGATTTTGTTTACATCCAGGTTTAATTCCGGAGTAAATCTCACCTTTCAATTATTCTCTCTTTAATAGTTTTGTTCGTCAAATTCCATAAGTACTTACACCAAGCGGGTACCGGCTTTGCCATACCATTTTGGTCTTAAGGGCCAGACTCTATTACAAGCAAAAACAAACTTGATTCATAGCATAAAACAGTACTGAAGGATTGGATTATTAGATAACGTTATTTTTAGAGAATTGTCAATCTCGTATATAAAAGAAAGATAGGAGATAAGAAGTTGCACATGATATATGATAGAAAGATGTATTGTAATCTCTCTTTTATCCCTTTCCAAGATAACAAAAATTTTTTTTTTGACGGAATAGAAGAAGGCTCTAAGCAATATAACCTAGCACTCGTTGGTTATGCTCTCAGCAAGAGGCATTTCTACGGTAACTTACAGTTATTGACAAAGTGTAGAATACTGTATCTTTTATTATGGATTCATAAAGATTTTCCATGAAAGTCCATAATGGACCATTAAATTTAAGCCGACTAAAAAAAAAATCTCTTTTTGGGTTAAATTTCCTAATATTTCTCTCTTCTTGGTTGAAAACTGGTACTTGGAAGATTAAAAGCAAATTAGGGGTTCCTTTCAATATCAGTCCACTTATGGCTAAAATAATAAGGATGATCATTGCTAGAGTTAGCATCTAAATTTCTATTGAATCCATTCTCACTACCATTATTATGGTCTCTGCAAACGTTAAATGTGTCTAATAGTAAATTTTATATGATTGGAGGCCCTCAGTTTATAAGTTGCGAGACACTTGTTCGCGCCCCTTTCTTGTTCTAGCTGAATGGCTTTCTAGGCATTAGTCCACTTTAGATCCTGTTTCATTGGTCACCCTTACTTAAAAAACAAGAGAAGAAAGAAAAAGTTGAAGATGGACAAAAACAAAAAAGAAACAAAAAAGAGTAGCAATCAAGATATTTATATAAAAAAATCCTTGTAACATAAATCGAAGAAGAGCTGTTTAAAGAGAATGAGACCATGCTAAACCTATGAAAACATACGAGAAAGATCTTATAGAAAGATCTTCGTAACCAACCAGAATACAAAATTAAATTTGGGTTCAAAGAGACCACCCACATGACATATATTGTGGTCAATTATAACCAGGGGAATACTCAGGAAAACTCATAATATAAGGTGTTGTGTTTGCTTAAAATAGTCCTGAAATATAGGCTGGCAAAGAGATTTTTGATGGTACTGGTAGATGTGATCCTCTAATCATTGGGAAAAATATAGGCTACAAGGCAAACGGTGAATCACCATAGCATGGTGGGTGGATATTGCTAACTTAAGAAGGCCTACGGTACAAGTCTACAAAAAGTTTAGACAAAGGAAATGACTGTGCTTGAAGGGATAGATCAACAAGTAGCAAAGAAACACCTAGACATGTAGAGATAGCTTAGTTGGGGTTCCATGGATTGTCCTCGCAGACTATTGGGACCCTAGATCTACTAAGCTGTGAAAGTGACCTAACTTAGTTAGAGATCACTTCGTCAACAACCCATGTGTTGCATCGTTTGAAGCGATCCAATAGAGTTGAAGTCAAAGGAAAAAAAAAGTCTAAGTTCCTCTGACTCAATCTAGACAAAAAAGGTTTAATAGCGATTGTACCTGCCAAAAGTTTAGATAGAAAGCCTTTACAGAAAGAAGAAAAAACAAACAACTCAGATATAAAGCTATGTTATCTCACAAAGGACTTACAATCCCATATGGATTGGGAGAACCTCTAACACCTTCTACTGCACTAGGCAACCACCTAATCATATAAAATTTATGTTGGGTTGGTCATATTGAAAAACAAGAGTACTTTTCTCTTATTATGCAACATGTATGCAATTTTCTAAAACATCTTTATCATGGTGGCCCTATTAATATGCAAGAAGGAAAATTCATGCATCATATGATTCTCTTAAATCTAGTCCAACAACCATTCTGAAAAGTATCAGATTTTAAAATAATGAATATTTGGTCATAAATTTAATTATGATAAATATTTTAAGAATAGCTTTTTGTAACAAAAGATTTTCTTCTAAACAACTTAATAGTGATTCATCTAGACAAAATGCAAGCATAATAAAGAGTGAACATATGCATAGTGCAGTACATTTACACACACAATATTAAAAAAATAAAATGTCGGGTTTTCGTTGAGTTCCATATATTGAAATAGAAAATGAAGTGGTCAAGCTCCATATATACATATTCAATCCTAGAACTATACAACAAATTTATAATCTAAAATTAAAGTATAAGGCACGAGCAAGCAACTCATGTTCATTGCCATATGGTCCATGATATAAGCTTTAGGACTCTCACCTATACCTTATTTCCACTACAGGCTTTCCTAGTGGACTCTAAAAGTTTTAAGGAAAAAATAGAAAAAAAATACTTGTTCTGCAAAATAGAGGTCAGTATGGCTATCTCATGTAATGTAAGAAAAGATTGTAAGTGAGGGGAGGAGGGCTAAGCATTCAAACAAAGCTTACACTAATTCATTCCAAAAAGGCAACACAAATAGTATAAACCTTGTTAATCAATCAAACAAAGCATGACCACTACCCATACCGATGAGTGTAAAATTTTTTTGGGAGAGCATACCCTTGGGTCAACTATCTATAAAGATTGAGAACCTAATCATTCAAAATCACCAAAATAATCTTAAAGAAGTGTTTAAAAAATCAAAAGGAGGTCTCCACACATGCAAAAGGTTATACCAACAATTGAGGGAGAAACTGTCATACTTCTTAGGTTTTAAAACCAACATTTGATAGATTTGGCCAATTAAAAATTATTTCAAACTGAACAACGAGTATCTCATATCCATTGCTCTACATAAGATAATGTATCAAGTACGTGCCTTATAAAACAGAACAAGGTAAGAATTTGGTTTACTCCTGGCATTGTGGTGTTAACAACCAACACCTGACACTAGACCTTAAAGTAGAGGTTAACTACGGGTCATCAAAAGTTTTCTGAGCGAAAACAAAGTCCACTCATGTTTGCATTGTTGAGAGGCAATATTGTGACTAGCTCCTACAAAACTTGCATTATGTGTGACTAAAAAAGTAATGAGACATGACTACCAATAGGTTGAAATGTGATTTAACAGTGAAAGAAGATATTGAAATATCATTTCACACCAAAAATGGGATCATTACCATAACGTCCAAAGAGCATAATTATGACACCAGGACAAACTAAAGCCCTACTCTCAAAGGAGAACTCATGAATACAAAATAAGGCTATGATAAGGAGACACATGAATCTAACCTAGGTATCCTATAATAATAGCCTGATCTAGTTTCCCTAACATAGAACCTACGATTTTCTATAAAACAAACAAAGAAAGGGAGAGAAATCTCACCTACTAAATGTTTGGATGACATAGCACACCAGAAAGTCTTAATGAGTGCTTCACAGACTCTCGTTATCACTACAAATTTTAACAATGGCATCGAGGCCTCCAACATAATGTAGAGGGAAGTTGAGGCAACAGGAAGGAACCAGAGCTTACAACTTGAAGAGGGGTGAAATTACAATAAGAAATCTTTGAAACCATGAATGAGCATCTTGATCAAAGATTCAACACTCTAGGTTGACTTTATCACTCCATAAACAAAACACTCACAAAAAAATCCAAACAAAATTCCAACACTTGAGGTAGCAGTAGCATAAGGCTACCCTGTTTATCGGGAAAGAGGT